AATAAAAGAATGGAAACAATATAAAACAAGAAAATGATAGGGGATTGTTACAAATCTATACCATATAGTCTATCATCATAACCACCAAAGGGTAACTAATGATTCAACCTCACAAAGTACAAGCAGACAACCAACTTTTCTCATAGTTGCATTAAAATCTCAAAGCCAATCCTTTACCAAACATCTAAACCCTAAAAAAAACCTACTTGTCAACCACTGAACAAGTACCAAACTATCCAATACTTAGGAGAAGCTAACCCCTAAAAAACCATTTAAAAAGTTAGTCATGTCATATTCCTAAGAGAATCAACTAATGGATAGTAAAAAACCAAAGCATATATTTGCATTCTTTCAAAGGGAAAACAAAAGCATAACGCTAATAAAAGAGAGGTCTAAGAATATACCATTGACATACGAATTTATAGCAAAGTGGGACCCTTTTCCTTGGCTCCTATACTTTGAAGGTGCATAACTCCACTATGGTTGATCCAAGCAGTCACCAAGCCCAACAACATAGTGACCTCTAGGTCCAGAACAAATACATTACCTTCCTCATAGGAATATCGACAAAAGTATTCTATTCAATCATTATATAAAATTAGTGCATAAGACCAACCAAACACAACAACAACGTGTTTGAAACCCTCAAGCGTACAATCATCAACTTTTAACATGTTCATGAACAATGAAATTCAATCCTCATATATTAAATTGGACACTCAACAAGATAGCTTCATATCCTTAAATTCTCAACATTATCAAGGGAACCAAATATTTTAATAGATAGTCCTGCACACATTTACAACAAAAACCTCAAAGTTCTTAATCTTAATCTAACTAGTCCACACAACATAGCTACCATTAGCATATGCTATATTCATGTTTTTAGGCCCTTTTAAAATTGGATCACAAGTAAACAAGCATAATTGCTCCACCATTTGTAACACAGCTTCCTTAGTTTCCTTTAGTTCCACAAGAGTCCTTAAATAAGAATTTTAGGAAAATAATGTAGCGAAAGTAAAGCACTTCTAAAGTATAAAATATCTCCTTGAAAAATAGCATGTAAAGAAAAAATAATATAACGAAAAGTATTTTTAGAAAAATAATATAACGAAAAGTATCTTTAGAAAAAAAAATATGTTAAAGTGCTCTATGTTGTGATATAACCTAGGCTGATCCCATTTTCATTAATTTATAGATTATATATATAAACCAATTTACACAAAAATAGACATGAGCAAATGCTTTTCAAAAGTTTTCCAAAATAATAAAAGTAGAACCATCATTTTGGTAACACATTGATTTGCTTGCAAATCAAAAGTAGTGAGATCCTAGCCTTTATGTACGATGAATATATGTGACCTATACTAAAAGCTCTAAAGCTTGGTGACTACTACTCTAATCTACTAATCCAATCTACTGATCTAAAATGGGGGGAAAATAACATGAGCTAAAAGCCTAATAAGTGTTAAGTTAAAACTATAAATTTGAGTCCTAGAACCCTTAGACTTATACACTTAGATGACAAAATATATAATTAAACCAAGCCAACTTAGCATGTTATAGAATAATTCATGAACAATCAAAATCATAAAGCCATATGTTCACAAATGAATATCACAATCAAAATACATATAACAAAAATCACATAATGCTATGGAGTCCATTGATATTTGCTAACAACACTTATACCAGAGCTAATCATGGCACTCATTCTACTGTGCAGAGGTCTACTAATTATCCTAGAGGGTCCACTAAATACCCCAACCTTTAAGTTTAGGTCTACTTTCTCTATAATTACAAACACATACACAAGTCTAACATGTTCAAAACATATCCAAAATAATATAAGAATATAATTCTATTATTTAATTTTCCTTAAATAGTTGCATTTTAAAGTAATTCACATTAACATCCACATGCTTAACTCATAGATTCCACATGATTTCTTACTTAAAATGATTGCAATTAACGCATGAAATAATTTTTTAAGAAAACTCCAATTCCCATTCATGGTCACGGACAGCAATGAAAAAATCCCAACTAAATATATATAATTTGTATAATCATGCTAATCTCCAAGAAAATCAACACACAAAACATTTACATGGAATACATGGCAACAATAAAAATTACATGAAAATAGATTTCACACTAAAACCAAACATAAAAATAAAACCCATTATAGATTCTATTCCATACAAGCCCCAAAAACAACATATATTTCTAACAAAATTCTAATACCCAAGAAGTCTCTTAAACAAAGGATTTAGGGTCAAATTTCACTAACCAAAATTAATTCTTAGTATATTATAGCATACCTATAACCTATCAAAACTCTAACCCAAAATCATAGCTAAAACTCATGCTTACTTATGAAAATCATAATACAAAGTTGAAGAAAACAGTAGGAATTAAAGAGAAAATTCACTGGACAATCCCCTTACTGAAATCCACGAAAATCTCCTCTCACACTCAGTTGAAACTAAAAACAATAAAGAGAAAAGGGTTTTAAGAGACTTCCCTAGAGGCTTTCTAAGTCAAAAGTGTTTGTTCAGTATATCGTGTACCACTTGGCACAAGATCAAGCTAATGAAGTTAGGCATCCTCAAACTTCCTTTAAATTTCACTTAAAACCCCATAAACTCTCAATTTAATCAATTTAGTCCCTAAACTTTAAAATAAAGGACTCTAGTTTATAATCTATTCATTTAAGTATATGAGGTGTTACACCATTGATCTCCAACCTTAGCTACCACACATCTCTGAATTTACTTGCATGAATGCTAGGGTATGCTCAAAGATATATGATCCAAATCTTTTGAGCCAACAAGGGATTCCTTAGCATTCTTAGTAACCATGATCACCATACATTGCTCTCATTTGCGTTTCAGTGTTGAAAACAATAACTTTTAATAGAGTATTAGGCTTTCTCTTTTGTAGAAGCAAGAAAGGTGGGATCCATAAGATTTCAAGTAAAATCAAGTAAAGTAGAGGGAAATTGATGCTTTTCCTAGGGATTACGTTGTGGGGAGGTGAATCAATGGTGGTAAAAGGCCAATGAAGCAATGGTGATAAAGTGTAATATTGATGGAAAATTTAAGAATGAAAGATGTTTTAAACATGGTGACAACTAGGATTACTGAATAGTGGTCACTGAATGAAGCAATTGAAAGATCCTCCTTTTTACTACAGCATGGCATAGTAGTGTAAACATACCACTTGCTTTGCTCAAAACAAGAAAGTTGGATTTCCTTGACGACCTTCTTTTTCAAAGTAGTCGATCTCTATGTGGACTGGCTAGAAGAATGCCAATTATGTGTTGAAAATGCACCCTAGATTAGATGATGTTGCAAGCAAAAGGGAAGCTTTCATGCAAAAATGGGTTATAGACTTGCCTTGGACAACTTCAAGGACTTCCCACATCTAAAACCACAATTAAGTTTGTTAATTAAATAAAACAAGAAAGAGAGGACAAAGAAAATTAGAATGCATTGTGGATCTAGAAGGTAGACTAAAACTAAAGTGTGTTATAGATCTTGACATTAACTACTAACTGTAATCAATCAACTATTGGTAGACCTTGACTAAACTATTTACAGAAATGTAAATTGGGTGCTTCAAAAGCAACATAGAACATTGAAACTTAAAGTGACAAGATTGCATTAGCTGTAATAAAAACTATTTATAAAACTACAACTTAATTGCACTGACAAAATTGAAATGCATTGATAGAATTTGAAGGCTTATGAATCTAGAAAATTAACCTATGAAGGCAAAGAGATGGATCCCACATAAAATAATTAAAACATAAAACTAAAGAGCTTGAAAGCTGGTCTCCTCATCTAGAAGTTGATTAAGAAGTTGACTAAGTCATGCTACAAAATAGATTGTGTTGTTTTGTGTTGGGAGGGCAGAACTTCTTTCAATGCTTTGTTTCTTCATATTTATAGTTGAAAATGCCCAAAAATAACTGTTAACAACCCACAATTCATCTGCAAAAATACTATTTGGTTTGATTGGACAACTAAACAATAGACTTGGCCAATCCCTGCACTAGAACTCACCACCTGTTTTCTCTTCCTCAAAATTAGCCTCCACCTCACCCATTTGCAAAGTTTGGCTGGTAAGCACCTCCTAATTTATGACCACTATCTCCATTATACAAATTGAATTAAATAATTAAGAGATAATTACCAAAACTTCAAATTTGGTTGAACATGTATAGCCATTAGCAATGTTTGCCATGCTTTAGATCATGGTAAAATTATGTCTATCGTGGCTTAATCAAATCACTTGTTTCAATCACATAACACATGACCTTATCTAATAATTTTGCAATTTATGACATAAATATTTATACAAAATCTTAGTCATTCATCTCTTTACCATAATTGATTAAGATTTATTACAAATTTTTAAATAAAAAAGACAACTATCTTCAAACTTTAGATCAATGTAGTTTTAACACAGCATTATCCCAAATAAAGATTATTCCTCTACATATTTTTCACATCTATTCCACTATATATTTTTCTGTTTCTTGTATGGCTAGAATCCTTGTGAAATAATCATAAGCAAAGTATTTGGCCAAAAAGAGGAAATCATAAGCAAAGTACAATGAAGAGCTATTTTCCTCCCAGTATACAAATCAATAACCTCTATACCGCTATGAGATTATTTTCTATAAAACCATGAGGAAAAAATTATATTGAATAAAATATTTGCTGTAGTTAGTGAATGAGTGTTAATGATCAACAATTTTTGCAACAACTAAGCACACAGTCCTCCAAAAATTGGCTGAGCTGACTTGTATAAAGTTTTGGATCGTTTCTGAAATGATCAACATGTGGTGTGGAGACAAAGTTGCAGGAGCGGACATCACGCCCAGCCCTCCGTTGCTCCTCTATAAATGATTCCACATGCCCTGCAGGAATGACTCTATCTGCAGAACTATAGATGTATAATTGAGGACAGCTTGGTTGTCCGGATGACAATACACTTATCACATCAGAAAGCCTCCTGCAATGAAAACATGCAAATTATGTCAGTTAATGGATGTGAGTAGCATTAGAACAATCGTAGTTTCAAGGGGAGGGGGGGAGGGGGAAGGAGATTATGTATTATTACTTCTTCAAGGGAGAAAAAAAATTACCCGTTTACTGAGGGAAGATTCAAAACCACCTTAAAGAAGTTCTCCAAAATCAATAGCAATGCAGCTTCAGTTGCCGCAGGTTTAGGTTCTGCTACTGATCTGCCGCCAGCAGGGACACCAATATCAGGTTCACTTGACTTTGCAAGCACTTTGGTTGCAACACTATGCTTTTTCAGAAAAGCTGCAGAGAAACCAGAAGCCCAGACCTAAAATTTTGAAAGCAGGATTAGATGAGTATTGTCCACCATGTACAGAATTCAGCAGTTAAAGGAAAAATAAAATCTAGAATCTAGAATTCATAAACGAAATTGATACCATATCCTCAACCTACAATATTCTAGCAAATTGAAATCTAAAAATATTACAATTTTCAAAAGCAGTGTTAGTTGTAGTGGACCAGGACGAGTGGCAAAAAACAGCTCTGAAATATGAGCATGGCAATAATATAGCTATAAATAGGGCACAACCCAGAACAAAGAGCACATGGCAGTTTAAATCCAACCCATCAACATAGAATGAAGATAGTGAACCTAGAAGCAATAGTAACTCAATCAAAAGATAGATGACTCACAACAAGAACTGATGGAAGAGTTAAGTGGGTTCTTTATCTTCTCTCTTCCTACAATTTTCACCACTAAATCCCCCCAATTAAACCCTGCAAAGTGCAAACCCTGACACCATCATACGCCCTAACTGGTCCCACATCCATAGAAGATGACTATTTCCAGCTAAGGAGCACCTGAAGGTGTGCATTAACTTACAGATTACTCCCACCCCTATTTCTAGATGCTTCCAACTAAAAATGGGATAAAGAGAGGATGATTCCCACTGGCCACTGCAAATGTAGTCACCCATTTTCAGGCTTAAAATTATAAAGCATTTTAATCATTTCTAGGTTCGGAGGCTGGTTTACAAGAAACACATTTAAGATACACGCATAATTTCAGTCATGGTTATAGTTTGAAGTTGCAAGAAAAGCAGATAGGATATACACATATACCAGTTATCCCAGTAACACCATGTCCTAGTCTTATTAGTCAATCACAAATCTTAGGCAACATCAAGCTTCATGTACCTGTGGATCTGGGGCTGCAACAGGGGCTGAATCCACAATACAACCCTTAATCCTTCCCATCAATGAAGTATCTTGCTTCTGAAACCTCTCAAGTATAGCTCCATATCTGCAATGATGTCAACCATTCAAATCAAATAGTTTTCCTAAGAACACAAAAGCAAATTATGGTAAATTATGGTTGGGAGAGCTTACATTAGCCACCCAGTATTGCTGAAAGTGTGAAAAACCAGGATTTTTCCTTGCTCCTCTTCCAACCAATCAGACAAGTGATTCACCAGCAAGTCTATGTTCTGTTCAACGTTCCCACCAGCCCGGTAACTTAGAATATCAGTCATTGGAAGAGTAAAGGTAATGCAATGGAATCCTCTTGAGGTATACCAATCTGCATATCTCTTCAAATGCTTTTGTTTAGAACCCAACCATCCTAACAAAACAACCACTGTCCGAGCCTTACCCGATGAACAATCAGAAGTCCCAGAAACATCAAAAGAACTTGGTTCTGGCAAATGCCATCTGTACAGAACATCAGGCACCGCAGGAGGGATACCCTTTGAAAATGCAACAGGCTTTGACGCTTTTGCCAACTCAGCGGACTGATACAAATTATGAAGAAGAGGAGATGAAGTAACAGAAGAACACAACATATTGAGATCATCCTTACGTTCTGAATTAGGAACAGGGAAGTTAACACTGGGTACAGGGACACGGATTCTTGTGACAAAGGCCAAATTTGCCAGCTTTGAAACGGATATCTGATCCACCCATAAAGATTTCAATTCCTGAACTGAATCAGACGTTGCAGGGTGAATCTGTTCTGGGGTTGGAGAATAGAACTTAACAGAATAATCTGCAGAAATTGAGGCTGCAACAATAGCAGTAGCTGCAGCCAGAGGACGTTGAAGGATTCCAGAAAAGGAACCCATATTGAACATACAGTCCAAAATCTACCATACCAATACGAAGCAACCCTCAAATATCATCACACAACAGACCCAAAATATAAAAGAAAACTAAAATCTAGTCAATTCCCAGAAAGCCAACAACCACTACAAGATTCAATCACCTGCACAAAATTAAGGGAGTCAAGACACAACCCACCAGTCAAATCAACAAATAACAACAATGGCTTGTTTGAACTTTAAAAGCTATAAGCTAATCAAAATTCAAGAAGCAGTCAGAGGCCAGACTATATTGTAACTCCAAATAACACCTAAAACATGGTTTTAAAAGCACGAGAAAAACACGGATGAATATTCTGCAATGCGGTATATATTCCTTTCCTTAAGCTTACCTGAACACGCTTCAAAAGGGACCGGGCTGTCAATATCTATCTTGACAGCCCGATCTTTCAAACAAACGCAAAACTAAATCGGCAGTGGACCTTTCCTCTTTGGTGTCGAATTCTCCCAAAAAATGTCCTGCGACGCGTCGAATAATATCAGCCATAAAAAACATGAGAAATAAATTATTTTTATGTGAAATTAATTTTTTTAAAAATAAACTGAATTTAAGGTATTGCATGCGAGCAGAATTAGCCAACCACAATATGCCACGCTAGCTGGAGTCCTGGTCTAAACAAACATGCCAGCTGTCTCTCGAAGGAGTCCGAGAATTTAGGAAAAGTTTGCGGGAGAATTCGAACCGAAGAATAAAACCCGAATCCGACCCGAATTCTAGAAGGACGGAATTTGAAATAACATGAAAAAGTAGGGGTAGAAGAGAGAAATCAACGTGCTATAAAGCAACGAATCTTGGGTGTGTAAACGAGAACCGGTAAAAATGAGGGACGCAAGGGACATGTAGGGAAATTATCCTAATACCCCTGACCGATCTCGTCAGGGAAGAAAACGAGCGGACTCGATGTCTCCTCGTCGGAAACTCTAATGATAAAATTTCTGGAGACTTTTAAAATTCAATATGATCAAATTAAAATCAGAAAGGAAAATGAAATATGCGACAAAAATCATTTGTATAGGATTTGGAAATGAATGAAACAATGAAATCCGGGTTCCAGAAATCAGTTAGAAAACTCACCGGCGGCTGAGGAGGAGAGAAAGAAAATGCAAAAAAAGATTGGGGGAAAATGCAGGCGGCGGAGCGGATGGAACTCCGATGATGTTAGGAACAGAGACAGAGAAAGAACTAACCTGAGAGGCGGAGGAAGGAGAAGAATCGAGGAATGAGATGGATTTTCTTTGTCTTGGAACGGTTGTTTTTGGTATGGAGGGGAGGGAGGCTTCGTTGCGTTTTATTAAGAGCGCTCGCGTATGGTTGATATGTTCTTCTCGTTCGCGTGACGGAAATAATTCGGTCTCTGCCTCTCTCCGTCTTTTTGGCTTCTTGGTTTTCACAATCGGAAAATAATTTTGGAATAATTTTTATATTATTTTTTATATAATTTTATATTATTTTTTATATAATTTTATATATTTATTTTAAACATCTAAAATTAAGTGTAAATTATATATAAAAATTATATAAAAAATGTATACTTGTATCATTATCTTTTTAAATACAATACGTATAAAAATGGAAAATGCTAGGGACCGACACCTAGCTAGTTGGTCTGACGTGGAGCATTCCCATACCAATAGATTTTCTCTCTCTTTTACGAGTAGGTTAAAGTTACAAACTGACTACTAAGCAAAATAAAAATTAAGCCGAATTGATATATAAAATAGGAAAATGATATACTTCTTGTATTTTAAAATAATTATAGTTTTTTTTTACTTTTTAATTTTTGAATTTATAGGTTTAAAATTTTTTAAAATATATATATATAGACATATTTAATAAATTAATTAATAAAACTAAAATTGTACATTTTTATGGTTTAGGGAACAAATACAAAAAATAATTCAAAGACAAAAATGTTTAAAATTGAAAGCTAAAAAACTAAACATGAGATTTAACTTAATTTAAACTCATGTTGTTAGGGTTTAAATTATCGTCCAATATTGAGGATGTTAAATTAAGATAAGTTTTAATATTTAAGATATTAGAATTGAGCCCTTTTGGGTGCAATATTTTAGATTATTACGATTTACATATTCTAAGATTTATGGTTTAGATCAAATTGCGCTCACAAATAGATTGCTTTCTTTGAGTTTTTTTTTTTTAATGAGTGTTTTCTTTGAGTATTTTAATTTTGTATATTATGCCTAGGTGATCAAATTTGTACTTTGTACACTTATGTTATCTTTGTATTATATTAGACAATTTTTTTTTAATATAAGGTGTATTTTTATTTTTATCTTAATTGCACGATGGGAGACAACCATCTCTCATTTCTTGTTTTACCTTACCAATGTACCATTCGACTTAAATTCAAGATCTCTTACTTTCAGTGGAAAGAGATGATTATTGAATTATTTAAATCATTGACAAATATAAGATGTATTTGGTTTAGTTAACAAAAGTTTTGTTTTAAACAACTAGTTAAAGTGTTTGAAACAATCACTGTATAAGTTATTTTTAAATTCATATTAATTATTCAATTTATTATTAACTAGTAGTTACAGTTATTTGTTATTAAGGACAAACAAGTCAAATAAAGTTATAAATATTCCATCAAGAAAATAAAAAATATTATAAAAAAATTATTATTCATGATCTTTTCAATTTAAACATCCTTTACAAATAAAAAAAATTTTAACATATTATTTCCGTACAGAATAACAAGCAGTCTTTTATCTGAAGAGCAAAGCGATCCGATATTCTTGGTATAACCATTGCTGTATTTCTTTCGGTGAAGCATATGCAGATTCTCATTACATGTTACGTTCCATTTTACTTTTGTCTATAGGAGAATTCGCATATAAAAGAGGATGTGGTTATGGTTCTATGGCTACTTGTTATTTTTTTATTAATTTATCATTTTTTTATTAAATAATTAGTTATACAATATTTGTAAATATTTATTTATAAATGATTAATAAGAATTTGATTGAATTAATATTTAATCATTAAAAAATCTTGATTTAAGATTAACATCAGATATCAAATTAATTTTAATTTATAAAATAATCATAAATATTAATTATTTATTAATTATTAATTTTTTTATCTTAATTATTTTTTAAAATCAAACTAAAATAAAAATTTGGCCCTAACGAATCGC